CCTAAGTCCCAGGCCTTTACACTCTCCCATACCTATTTTACCATTTATTTCATCAATCACTCTTTCAGGTAATAGCTGTCCATGTATAAATTTCCAGTCTACATACCATTCTGATATACAAATATATAATCTGTACATAACACTGCTTAGTTAATTTCTCATGACTGGTGGATGGTTTGGGTGATAGCGAGTTGGTTTTTCGGGGGTACTAGGGATAGGGAGGGGGTATTGATGTCAAGACGAGAGGTGTTACGGTGGTGTGGGTAGGAGGTGGGAGAGGGAGAAATATGTTGTGGGGACTAATTCCAGTATCATAGTTTTGTGTTAGGTAAGCAGTCTCCTACTATCTTTTAATACTGACAGTATCTGTTTGATAAACCTGCCATTAAGATTGACATATACACTGTAATTGTTTCATATCTGATGACATGCGTTATCATGTCAACTGTGAGGATAAAGTTTGACCTGATGATATGGCACATGGTGTTTACATTATAACAATATAGTTATTGTCATAACATAGATTTAATTGTTATTTTGTTGAATTTAATACTAAGTGCTGGTGGATATTCCGACGTCTGAATAATTAAAATATAAAAAAGAATATTTTGTGAACTGTGATACGACAGTCAATGCTTTACAAATTCATATGGCAGATCACATTACACCTCCGAAGAAGCTGACTATAGTCTCACCCGGGTTTGTCCTGTGATGCCGATTCACGTTATATTATGTAGTTGCTGATAAACAATATTACTGTTAATATCATCTCTCATCACATTCAGCAAAGATATTGGGGAAACGGTAGTGGGGAAACGAAATTGGTAGTTTCGTGATCAACACAGGGGTAACCAGTCATAGTCAAACATGGTTTGAACCAATCACAGTCAAGTGTGGTTTTGGGGAAGTTACACTAGGTCACTCTCCTCACCGCCTTATCACGAATTGACATGAGAGTCAGCTATCTCTGCGAGGTAGGATGACTGGACTGGACTGCGAGAGATTGGCCTGCGTATAAGGGTCATTGCTCAACAACTCGGCGTCTCTCCTTCCGCTGTGGCTAGGTGAACCAGACGTTGGGAGGAAAGTTGAGCAACCAGAGCATGTATAAACTGTTGTAACACTTGAATGTAATATTCACTTGCTCCCCCACCCCCTTCTTACCACAGGACTACCCACAAAACTTCCATGGTCTGCCTTCAACAATTACAGCATCATCGCCGTCTTCTTCACTACGGCCTTCACCTGTATACTACTGCTGCCCCACCATCACTATTATAACAATTCTCACTACAGGCACCATATCAATACCAACATTCTTATTGCCACTCATGCACTTTGTTCCCTCCTCAGGGAACCACTACTGCCTCATCACTACCATCATCACAATGATTGTGACTGAATGACTAGGAGGTGCACCAGGAGGTAAGGTAACAACCGAATGGAAGCGAGTTGGTAATCCTCATGGGAGGAGAGGAACGTTCATGACTTGCAGATTTAAAACTGAGAGGCATGAGGCAGAGGGGTGAGGGCTGGATGTATTGGGGTAATGGGTGGGAAGCGATGTGGAGTTGAGGGTGAGGTGTAGGTGGGTTGTATATTGTGTAGAGATCATGTTATGTTGAATGAGTGGATGGGTCGAGGGTTTGGTGGGATGGTTAGGTAGAGGTGGCTCACATTATCAGCACGTCCATCATACATCACTACCGGTGGTTCAGTTCATCCACCAGTGCTTTCCCTCAAGACACACACACACTATGCTCATGATGTTTGTCATATAAATATAATGTCACAGAGAAAAGATTCCCCGGTCCCCGGTTGACGACACCTGATGAGGATAGAAGAATTCGGCGTGCACCAACCGAAACGCACTTCACAACAGCCACTGCGATTCGGGAAGCACTCCAATTACAAGTGTCTGTAACTACAGTCCGGAGGCGTCTGCAGGAAGCGGGAATCCATCACAGGGTTCCCGCAGCGTCTGACAGCTGAACACCGTGCAGGCAGGCTCGCCAACCAGCATGTGGGAGAAGGGTTCGACTTTTGGTCAAGAGTAGTCTTCACGGATGAAAAGACCTTTAGTTCTTCAAATCATGGCAGACTGCATGTGTGGACAGAAAATAGCACCAGGTAATGTATCATTACCTTATTGTTTACAATAGGAACACATGTATGGTGAACAGGTTGACAATCATGTATTTTGCAATATAATCATCGCTCAATATACTTTAACCGTACTCCCGTTTACACATACTGTTACAATTCTCCACCTGCGTTATGTTTTGTTTAACACATATTTTTTTATGATAATACCTTTATATATCCAAGGTTTGTTATAAAGAGGCGATTGGTCACACAGCCACATGTGTGTCACAAGTCAACAATATCTGTCTCCGACTAAGTCATAATGCAACTACATACTGAATGGTGACAAATATTCAATACATTTTATTTACGAACATATTCATCTTTACCATATATGATAGCTATTAAACATTAGTTATATAGTCATTATTTATTATGCCAATATGTTGGGTATATAATCATCGTAGTCCTCACATCACTTGTATAATTCCCAGTCAAATAATGTCAGCAATATAATTTATTTATCAACGATTGTCGCATGAAATGGTCTGGTAAGGCAACAAAATGACTGACTTTATTTTATATGTCCCCCAATACGACACTTATATTGATTGTCCCATGAAACGGTTTAGAGAAACAAAATAATGACATTCGTTATTTTCTTTATCTGCAGATACGACATTCATAATATTCATGAGGATGCACGAAGTGGTCACGTCACATGCAACAAATGAGGGCTTTGACTTGCATCCATGGAATGGGTGATGTGACCAGGATTGAAGGGAGGTTCACTGCAGCAAAATATATTAATATTCTTCAAAACTTTATCCGATCCTCCCTTCAGGAAAAGAACTTCCCTTCCCTCCTGGTCCCACCCTATTTGTGCAGGATCGACGCCCCATTCACACAGCAAGAGCAGTCCGAATTCTAGATTTGTAGAAAGAATTCTTCAGGATCACTTTCTTGAAAATGATGTGCAAGTTTGATATGATTTGTAATATAAAAAGTTTTCCTAATATTTTTTTTTATATCCCCATCCCCCCCCCCCCTCCCATTCCTCCTCATTATTCAAATTAAGCTGAGAATTTTTTAAAGAAATGTTAACTGAAAATTATTCTCTCTCTCTCTCTCTCTCTCTCTCTCTCTCTCTCTCTCACCCCCTCTCATTCGCTTTCAACTTTTCCCTCTCTAACTCCAGTTCCATTATCCTAACAGCATGATTCTTAGAAACATCCTCTAACTCACACAATGATAAAGCGAACTCGTCAAGTACCTCTTGTGTTTAAAAGATGTCATAAAACAGCATTTTTCACTTCAGACTTTCCCCAGTGATGTTTTATTTGGGCCCTATCCTTACAAGCCAATTTAATCTAACCATCTTCCCTAATCTTAAAGGTTTGTAAAGTTATTACTGATGATTCCTTCAGAAATTCTTCTACGGTGAAATGTTCCATTTTGTTCAGTCTTCACACAATTCAAACTAATAACACATCAGATATTGATATAATATGAAAAATACTAATGCGAAAAATAACTCCCATTTTCTGTTTTGTCATCACTCCGCTTTATCAGGAATTTGCCTCTAGTCAAATAAGAGGTAAATCTTGGTCGTCAAAGCATAAAAAACAAACCCCTACCACTTGTGGTCACAACAACAAGCAGGGTAAACACTATAATGACTAATATTATATCCACCACGTTCTTAAGCCTCAGATTATCTTATATTGAGGATGAATCATACACTACATAATTTCTAAATTAATAAAATTAGGGACGTATTTACAAACAAGTAAAATAAATACAAACGACAGCCTAAATTAACCTAAACACCCTTACCATACACGAACATTACAAGGGAATAAACTAATTATCGCCATATACATATATCCACATATATCCTGAGTCCAGACCTACTGTACCACCCATTGACCACACTCTCTCACCAGCCAGGTTTATCTGCCTCTCCCCCAGTGTTGCCGTTATTCCACACTCGTGCGTTAGGTAAAAAAGCTTTTTTCTCGTTCATTTTTTG